CCCAGGCCTTAGGTTGCCTACCCCTGCTCTAAAAGCACCAAATTCCCTCTGATTTAGAAGGTAAGCAGGGTCAGTTCTAGCTATTACCTGGATGAGAGACCACCAATGAATAGCAGGTTCCATAGGCTTTATTTCAGGGAAAGGGACTGGTAAAACCACCTCTAAATATTCCTTGCCTAAGAAAATGCTATGAAGTTCATGGGGTCACTATAAACTGACAGGCAAGCTGAAGGCAGGCTAACAGACACACACAGTCTGTTTAAAAAGTGAAATGCATGGTGTGTGTTGAAGATCTTTTTAACAAAGTTTGGATTGGTGTCTTTTAGGATTGCTTTAGTTGCATTTTCCTGCATCAATTGGATTGGAGTCCTGGCGCCCTTTTCCCAACTCTAAGGTTCTTGAGTCTATTCTTTCTAGGTACATTATTTGGGAGTGGGCAAGGGGAATCTAACTGTCCTTGACACCCTGCAATTTTGATTTCTTTCTCTGAACCCTTCACAGAATATGGAGGATGATCTTTTTCTTCTGCTATTTTTTAAACAAGGTGAAACAGTGACTCATCTGTTGCTGCTATGGACACAGTGACTAGGACGATCTCTTTTACACAGTGATGTCCTTGGATTTCTCTGTTACAATATCTCGCCCTCCTTGCTGAAGCTTGATTCTTCTCACTGCCCAACAGAGTGGGTGTAGAAGATGAGTAGATCTGACCTTCAAAACAGTATATAGAACAGCTGGTACCATGCAAAGTTCCCTGTTACTGAGTCAGACAGACCATTTATAATTTTAGGTGGTACTATCTACTCCAATTGACAGGGGTTACTTTTTTGGGACTGCTAATCACAGACTCCACCACATAACTATTCAAAGTGTTAGCTCTTTCATTGCTCAGGATTGAATCTGGACCTTCTCCATGACAAGCATGTGTTCTGCTGTTGTGCTACAGCCCTTCTCCTATGTCAACAATTGATAGATTTTTAGGGGCTTCTAATTTCTGTGCTAGTAATACAGGTAATTTTCTGGTCATAAATCCAAACAATATAATTTGAATCACTCATGTCAGTGATGTAGGGTTGGAACCAGTGGCCAGAATTCTTTTGGTGACTCTGCTTGTTGTTGTTGTTTGTGTGCCTTCAAGTCACTTCCAACTTGAATAAGCTTCTTCTTGAAGATATCAATGAGTAATTTTACTAATTTTCTTCCTGCAGTAGGAAAGTCATTCCTGCAGTAGGAAAGTCATTGAAAACCACACAGTTTTTGGAAACTATTTACAGTTCAGAACTGCTCTGTGTAAATTTTGCACATGGTTGTTTTGTGCAGAAGACCACCTTTTCTGTGCAGGAAACAGCATTTTCTGTGTGGAAAATAATATGTCAATACAGAAATATTAATTCCCATGCAGAAAATGCAGTTGTTTTCTATGCAAATCAACCATGAATGAATTGTATGTAGAATAAATAATCAATTACAGCATTTGCTGCATAGAGAACAGCATTTTCTGCATGGAAATATTATTATACACACAGAAAATGCTGTTTCCCGTGCAGAAAATGCTGCATTTTGCAGAAAATGCATTTTGTGCAGATTTTGTCCAGAATAAGTCCTGAACTGTGAAGATTCTTGTCAGTCCAGGATTCTTCTTATCACAGTTTCTCAACACTAGAAAAACATGTTTTTCAATAATTTCTTGAATATTTTTTCCATTCCTAATATCCCTTCCTGAACAGCATGAAAAACTGATTTTGTTGAGAGATATCTCTCAGCTTTGCTGTAACATTATGGAAAATTTGGATGATCACGGCTATTAGTCAGTTTTCCAAAGTATGGTCAAGGACAGATTGGTGGGTGAGAGTTCATCATTGCAAACATAGATGAAAACTCCAACTCCTTTTGCTGTCCATACTTCTGTCATGTCTTTGGCTGCATCTGCATTGCAGAAACATTGTAGTTTGACACCACTTTAACTGCCATGGCTCATTGCTATGGAATTCTGGGATTTGTAGTTATGTGAGATATTTAGCCTTCTCTTGCCAGAGAGCACTGATGCCACAAGAAACTACAAAGCCCAGGATTCCATAGTATTTAGCAATTGCCTTTAATGGCAAGGTAGTTAAAGCAATGAAGTTAAATGGCAAGACAGTTAAAGCATTGCCAAACAGCATTAATTCTGCAGATGCAGCCTCTGTTTTGCTTAAACCTCAAAGGCACATGGGATTATAGTATGAAGGAACATTTATTTTTAAGAGGGAAGTTTAGATTGTAATAATAATTCCTTCTCCTTTGTGGATGGATGTGGTTTTTCTTTTAGAAGTGGGTGTGAGCAGTTGCTTGGGATGCATCTCTGTTATTTTCCTACTGTGAATTTGCACTGTTGTGACATAGTAAGTTCTGAAGGTTTACTATTTTTGCTCATGTCTAGCCTTAAGAAAGATCATGCTTGTAATGACAGGCAAAAAGAAGACATTCTTTCCCCAAAGAAGAACTCTGCCCCCGCCACCCAGAAATTTTCTTTCAGTTCCCAAATTTCAATTATTGCAGTAACCTAAAACTTCATATTGAGTATTTAGAAATACAGCTGAGAGATCCAAAGAAAAGGGACAGACAGAATTCCCAAGGGAATGTGATGCACACCAAATAAAAGACTTCTACATGTGAATGAATTTTAATGTCTCACCCTCTACCACGCTGGCAATTTGGGGAATTAAGAAAAATTAATGCAGGGGGGGGATTATTCATTGTTTATATTTCCTTTGAATAGCTGTACCTCAGACTAGTTACAGTACAAATCACGCTGCATTATTTGTAACCAAAGAAAGTTAGAAGCAAACGGTATGAGAAAATTGTACACTGTGATTGTATTTGAGTACTTGGCCAATGTTGGTTAATAATACTCCAAAACTGTGTTTCTACTGTGTGTGGTTAGTTAACTGTTAACTTGTTTTTGCACTGTTGGAAGTGGACGATGCTCAAATAAACAGGAAATAATGCATTCAGGTGTCTCCTGAAAGAACAAATGGGATCCAGAAACTTTTATGGGATAACCACTCTCTCTGAATAAACAATGACAACAATGTAGCTCTGAAAAACCGTAGTTGGGCAGTGGCTACAACTAGGAAACTACCTTTCATCCAGTCCACTTTCATCCACTTTCTCTTGCACTAATCCAATTTTTCTGGGTTCTTGTGAGAATAAAATGGGAATTGAGGGTTGAGAGGCTGTGTACGTGATTTGAGCTCCTGGGAGAAACAATATAAATAAATAAAGACTGATCAAACAGTAAGCAAACACTGGAATGCTCCTCTATTTTGTCAGGCTGGATGATAAGCAAAAATAGGAACATGGGATGTGGGAGGGCAGAAATAAATAGCTGGTGATGTTGGGTATGATGGTAAGGTCATAGGCTGAAATCCATTCCGTATGCTCCACTCCTGTAACAGCCCCATTATATGAGCAGTTGTATTTTGTTCAGGATTGTACATAGAATTATAGAATCATAGACCTGGAAAGGTCCACACGAGTCATCTAGTTCAGCCCCTTACTATGCAAGAATATGCAACTAAAGCACTCCTGAAAGATGCCCATCCAAGATCTGCTTAAACCATCAAAGATGGAGAGTCCACTGAAGCAGCTCATTCTACTGTTGAACAGCTCTGATAGACATTCTTCCTAATGTTTAAATGGATTTTTATCTTGTAATTTGGATTAACTGGTTCACATCTTAGCCTGTGGAGCAGCAAAATAATGTAA